GCTGTAGTAACTGGCTTTGTTGTTTCAAACGGCGTAGTTCCAGTGCGTTATCACTGGTGTAGATGGTGTCGCTGCAGTAACTGGTTTTGTCGTTTCAAACGGCGTGGTGCCTGTGGTAGTTATCACTGGTGTGGATTGTGATGCTGTAGTAACTGGCTTTGTCGTTTCAAACGGAGTGGTGCCCGTGGTAGTTATCACTGGTGTGGATTGTGATGGTGTAGAAACTGGCTTTGTTGTTTCAAACGGCGTGGTTCCAGTGGTTATCACTGGTGTAGATGGTGACGCTGTAGTAACTGGCTTTGTTGTTTCAAACGGCGTAGTTCCAGTGGTTATCACTGGTGTAGATGGTGTCGCTGCAGTAACTGGCTTTGTCGTTTCAAACGGCGTGGTGCCCGTGGTAGTTATCACTGGTGTGGATTGTGATGCTGTAGTAACTGGCTTTGTCGTTTCAAATGGCGTGGTTCCAGTGGTTATCACTGGTGTAGATGGTGACGCTGTAGTAACTGGCTTTGTTGTTTCAAACGGCGTAGTTCCAGTGGTTATCACTGGTGTAGATCGTGTCGCTGCAGTAACTGGCTTTGTCGTTTCAAACGGCGTGGTGCCTGTGGTAGTTATCACTGGTGTGGATTGTGATGGTGTAGAAACTGGCTTTGTTGTTTCAAACGGCGTGGTTCCAGTGGTTATCACTGGTGTAGATGGTGTCGCTGCAGTAACTGGCTTTGTCGTTTCAAACAGCGTGGTGCCCGTGGTAGTTATCACTGGTGTGGATTGTGATGCTGTAGTGACTGGCTTTGTTGTTTCAAACGGCGTGGTGCCCATGGTAGTTATCACTGGTGTGGATTGTGATGCTGTAGTGACTGGCTTTGTTGTTTCAAACGGCGTGGTGCCCGTGGTTATCACTGTTGTGGACTGTGATGCTGTTGTAATTGGGTTCGTTTCAAATGGCGATGTTGCATTGCATACACATGGATCACAACAATAAAATCGCACCTCGTAATCATAGCATAATTGTGGAAACGAAGTCTGCCGATCATGGAAACAAATTAGACCACCATAGTTAACATTACATGTCAGTGATTGCCCCGTTTCGTCGTGCGAGATATGGGGTGAAATAGACAATCTGCACTCAATATCATCAGGATTGTCACAAATATCAAATTCATCTTGAAGCTCTTCAAGCAATTCAAATTCTCCGGCAGCCAAGTAGTCAACTTTCTCACCTTGCTCATCATCAATCCACTCTGTCCAATGACAACATCTACATGCTGCCGTAGCTTCGGGCGACGTCGTTGGTGCTGCCGTAGCTTCGGGCGACGTCGTTGGTGCTGCCGTAGCTTCGGGCGACGTCGTTGGTGCTGCCGTAGCTTCGGGCGACGTCGTTGGTGCTGCCGTAGCTTCGGGCGACGTCGTTGGTGCTGCCGTAGCTTCGGGCGACGTCGTTGGTGCTGCCGTAGCTTCGGGCGACGTCGTTGGTGC